AATACATACACAATAAAAAAAAAAATCACATATAATTACTATGACAAAAAAGAAGAAGAAGAGAGAATCAGAAACAGAATGAAAAAACACACACATGTTAATCATTATAAAAATAAAAAAATAAAAATCATATTAACAGCCGAAACAAATTTTTTTCTTGATTTGGGTTTGATTTGTATTATGGAATTTTTTAATTTAGGTTAGTGAATTTTTCTTGTATTTGTTAAATTTTTACGCATTAGTTTTTTTCTTGATTTGAGTTTGAATTATATTATATAATTTTCCTGATTTTAGTTAATAAATTTTATATATTTTTTTGTGAATGTGAAACTGTGTGTATGTGTGATTAGTTGTGTTGACCTTCGAAAATGGGTCAACAAGAGTCGTTCGAAAACAACATACACGTGAACGTATTTTTCAATATGTTGACTACAAACTTAAACACACCCACTTAACTACCCATCATCCATGCTCAAGCAAATAGGCCAAATATATACTTGTCTAAGAAAAGAAAGACAAAGGAATGAAAAGTTTTTTATCCATGGAGAAATATACCGTGCTCTCTCTTTTTATGCTCAAGGATCCATCCCTTAAAATGTTACAATTATAGTTATTCATAGTGACCATGCCGACGTGATTATAGTTGGATCCGATCCACGTTGCTTAATTAGTTAGACCCTAGTGTCACATTAACTCTACCTCACATTAATTACATTGACAGATATTTGATAAGGAGTCAGTTACCCTATATCCCTAAATTGATATTCCTGACACCCATTTCATAAGAAGGTTACATCAATCACTTCCTAAGATACGCTTATCAGACCTTCTTCTAGACATCGAGGACTTCAGATACAAAGGAGTTCGGTAGAGATTCAGTACCATGACTTTGACAGTTGATCTTTCTAGTGAATTCGTCTTCACTCTTGACCCCCCAATGCCACGTGTATGAACATAGGGCTTCCACGTGGACCTCATTGAGAGCATTATTTACGATCAGTAACAAGTTGTATATATTGTGTATTAGCATAAACAATTTTGTTTAAGCTTTTATATAATTTTTTCAAAGTTTCTATAATCTAATACATAGTGTTTTTTTATTTTTATTTTTGTTTCCAATTCTCATCCTCTCTTTTTGTTGTGGTAATAATTATGTGTGAATTTTTTATTGTGTATTTATTCTATCGTGTTAATCACTGGTGACTTACCTGAATCATTATATGAAGTCGAGTGACCATAGTGAATCAAAAGCAATTTGAGTAATCACGATGATATTGAGTATAAAGTTCAGTGATCACGATAAATCACAATCAATTTGAATGATCATGGTGATATTAAGCATAAAATATCACGATCGTGATATGGATTTAGCCCAAAATTATTTATTAAAATTTTGGACATTAATAATTAATTTTACTAATATTTTATGAGATTTCATAACATTTCAATTATAAGTCAACGTTGAACGTGCAATAATATTTAAGATATTAATAATTAATTTTACTAATATTTTATGAGATTTCATAACATTTCAATTATAAGTCAACGTTGAACGTGCAATAATATTTAAGATATTAATAATTAATTTTACTAATATTTTATGAGAATTAACAAATTTTCAATTATTAGTCAAAGTTGAACACACATTGTACATTATTCTAAAACACTTTATAAGTGATGAAAAATATTCTCTTGTTTGAGCCCCATTTTTTTTGGAAGAATGAATTTTTGAATAGTGTATTGATGGGAAATGTATGGTTAAAAAATAAAAAAAATTTAGATTTGTGTGTAATATTATTTTATTGAAGAATGTGTGGTTGAAATGATATCAAAACACTGTTGAAAAATGATTTTTTTAAAAGAATGAGGCTCAAACAAGGGCATTATTTGATACCTATTTGTCAAAAGATTTAATGAGTCTCAAACGAATCAAAGAAAAATAAAATTTAGTATAAAAATTAATAATATGAAAATTGTATTCAAATTGTACTTTCAAAACTCAAATTTTTTGTAATGATGAAATACTATAAATGAGCAATCTTTTTATATTACATTTGATACATAAAAATTAATTGTTAATACGTACATTTAAATACCCGTTAAAATTTATAGATATATGAATATGAATAAATTTATCTATAATAATTATAGATTCATGTCATTCAAGATTTATCAAGTGAAAATTCATTAAATTTAGATTAATATGAATGTTAATTAATTGAGAATTAATAACACAAGTTTCATAAATGACAATAATTTTGTAATATTTATTACATATCAAAAAACGAAAAGTAATGTATTATTGAAATAATTAAATTGTAAGAGGATTAAAATCGTCCAAAAAATATTTTCATTTGACGTGATATTTTAATATATTATAAATAATTTTTATCATAATTTATTAAAAATATTATTTTTATGTAAACCAAGCGTATGTTTGGTAGAGATTAAAATTAGACTTTTTAGTAGTTTGTGAAATATGTGGTTGAAAAATTGTTGAACCCATGAAAAATATGATTAATATTGATTGTTTGACTTTAATTTAGAGTAAAATCAAATTATAATATCTCCCAAACAAACTCTAAATATAGGCAAAGTGATAGTAATGCCCAATTTGTTTCTCATTCTTTGGTCACAAAAATAAAAAATATGATCGTTATTCATTACATCAAACTACTATATTTGACTTTATTTCTTTTGTGTGAATCTTGTATCAGGGCTAATTTTCTTTATTTTCTTCTCACCTAATTATCCATTAGAAGATTTAGCTTTGAGTCATTCAGCATGAGTGCTATATGATTTTATGGTAGCCCCCAGGACACATCTCCAAGTGGTAAAAGGGGAGGAAGGAGAAATCCAGCTTTGCTTGAGGCTGTTGCGTTAAGAGTTCGAATCTTGAAATATGAATTTGGCTCTTGGATAAGTGCAAGTGTACAAGCAGCCTTCCACCCTGTACCTTTGGAGGCATAACCTGTGATTTACCTCCCTCACGATGCTTCAGGACATGGGTCGTGGGGACCCTTAAGGTTAGGATTTAACTTTTTTTTTTTTATATGATTTTATGGTAATTATGGGAATTGTGGTGTACACAAGGAAGAGTTGATGTGACCATTCTTACTGGTCACTGCTACCCACCATGACATTACTGTCTTACATATGGGAAAATGATCTCTACCATTGATTTATTTGATAAAAGTTAACCCCTGAGGCGTGTTTGGGAGACTTTTTATGTAAAAATGTATTTTTGAATAATAAATTGATGGAAAATATGTGGTTGAAAAATAAGGAAAAATTTTTAATTTACGTGTAATATTATTTTAATAAAAAATGTGTGGTTGGAAAGAAGAGAGAGAAAAATACATCTTGAAAAAAATGGATACCAAACGAGGCGCATGTTTTTTTTATCACAAATTTATATAATAAAATATTTTATACGTAAATTCTAATTTTTTAACTCTACATTCTTTCAAAAATTATTATTCAAAACATTATTTTTTGAAAATAATGACTACCAAATAGGGTTTAATGAATTGGTGGTCAAAAAATTTAGATCCTTTATAAGGTATGATCAAAATTAACGATCAATTTTAATCTTAACTTTTTAAACTTTACCAAACATCCACTAAACCTTCAAAACTGTGAAGTGGTATAATTTTATAATTTTTCACAATTTTATTTAGACTAATGCCACCTTCGTATGTTTCACAATTATCATAGTTGAGATTAATAGTGCAGGTGCAACTGTAATAAAAGATTATAGACTAATTTCCTCAATATTTTAATAAATTGAGGATCAACTTATTGCATAACCATATTTTGAGGACTGACAAGCAATTTTCCTTGTCAAATTTTACGATAGATTTTGCACGTCAAGTAATAAGTACAAATAGTATCTGTTGATAGATCTCCGTCGGCAGGGGAAGATATAATCACCACCTGTGGTTTAGCCATTTCGTTAAACCTGCAGAATTGGATAACTAGGGTGGCAGTGGGCCGAGCCGAGCCGAGCCGGCTCGTTAACCCAAGAGCTCGACTCGGGCTCGTTGCTTGTGGGCAAGCTCGGCCCACGAGCTCGTGTACTCACGAGCCACGAGCTCGTGAGCTCGTAAATTTTTATTTTATTTTATTTTATTTTTTTTGCAAAATTTTCAATTTTTATTGATAAAATTTTAATTTTTTCCACTTTTTTGGACGAGCTAGCTCGTGGGCTCGGCTCGTTGGAATCTACCCCGCTCGGCTCGAGTTCGAGCTCGTCAAAATGACGAGCCCGAGTAGCCCATGAGCCGAGCTTTGACGAGCCGCAAGTCGGCTCGGCCCAATTGACATCCCTATGGATAACACCACTTTAGGCCGTTTGACATGACATTTGTAAAGTCAAAAAAAGAACTTTTGAAATTTAACGTGGTTGATAAAGTTTGTTGACAAGATTTAGATCGTTGATTTATTTTGATTTCAAAATACAATTTTGAAATGAGTGATATAGATTTTACCAATTCATGTTGTGTCAACCTTCTTTATACACATAGCATCACTCATTTTTGAATTCATCTGTGCTTTTACTTCATGAGTTGGTCACATTAGACCAACTTCCTCTAAAAATTTTTCTAACTATTACAAACACTTCGTAAAATTAGCCAATCGCGTCTTTAAGTAATTTTTTGGATCTTAAAAGTTCATTTTGACTTTTCAAAAGTTATGCCAAACGAGTTTTGTCTGATTTTATAAAAGTACTTTTTGTAGCTAGAAGAATTTTAGAGTTAAGTTGGTCATATAACTTTCTCTAAAATCATTTTTGGAATATAAAGTTGTTTCATCAAATAAAAATTAAGGTACTTCCTTCTAAAATTATTTTATAAGAAGTAGAAGTCATGTCAAACGGGTCCTTAAATGCCAGTTTTGTCAAAGTTCAGCCCAATTGTATAGGATTGGATCGGGTTGCTTAGTTCTTAGGGGTAATTTGCTTATATGGGCCGGGCCTAACAAATCTCAGCCCAATCTCAGGCTACAATGGTTCCAGAAGCAGCACTGCAACCGCAACAATCAATTACACAGCACAAACCACCTCAGCAAGCCTACCTCTTTTTCATTTCGAAACCGTAACCCTAGTGACTTATACAGGGAATTTCGAACATGGGTACGTATTTTCTGTTAACTTTTGGATAATATGAACCTTCGATCTGTAATTTTCTTATGCTTCTCATTGAATTCCTTGCCAAGTTTTAATTTTCCTCATTATTTCGTTCCGCGAAAATGGAAATTTGTAAAAAAAATTTCATTCAGAAATAATGTTTTCTTTTATTTTATAATTGATTTATTGCTTTTGGGAGATTTGAGTGGAATTGATGCTGATTGAATTGGGATTCTATTTTGTTTGAATTGTCTAACTCGTGATAGATATTGAGGAGGATATCAAAGCTTTGCAGCTTGATTCAGCTGGTATGGTGTTTATTTTAATTAGTTTGTTATCTGTTTTTAATTCTTTAGGTATCTGCTGTAGGATAATAGTACCGAATATCCGTAATCATTATCCTAGTACTATGTACTAAATTATTATTATTATTATCATCATTTTCATATTGAATTGTTTGCCGTGTATTTTCATATAAAAAAATTATCTAGTAACGTTATAGGAGATATTTCCACCCAAATATTAAGTAGAAGTAGAACTTGTCCAGCATAACGCTTTTACTTGGTTAGCCATACGATTAATGTGAAGTTTCCGTTTTGGATTCTTGTTGTAGAGCCTGATAAGATGTTATGGTGTTTTGATTGGTTTGAGTTAGGTTTCTTTTTTTATTTTTTTTTATTAAATAAAAATTCGTCCATGGAGATGCTTGGAAAATAATTTTCGGTGGACTGTGGAGTGGGCTGAACTTGTCCATCAATACTTATTTTTCCACAATTATTGTTCATATTCACATTTCATTATAGCTAGTGGAATATGTATCATATATTGAAATAAACAAACTCTGGAGCTTCAAAATATTAAATGTTAAAGAAGTACAGATTTTGGCCGTCAGGATTTGTATCATTGAGTTCATGAAACTTCTTTAACTTCTTTGGATATGAAATTTCCCCCACCATATCATTTTTACTGATAAGCAAATGGCAGTAAGAGCCTGAATTTATTCTAAAAAATGGTTACCTATTCTTTATCTGTGAGAAGAAAAAGGTGAAGACACACATTTTTACTTTTTTATAATCAGAAAGATTTTTCTGGATGGTATTCATTCTTGCCAAGTTCCTCGTTACAGACTTCCAATAGTTTTAAGTTACAACTTATGTTTACAGTTAACCCATAAGTACTTGAATCTTAAAACCATGGTTGTGTATTACTTATCATTTTTCATTACCATTGTCATTATTTTTTTATTTCTCCATTAAAATAAAATAGTCTTTGTTTATATGAATGACAATTGAGCTCCAGCAGAAGACAGTGTAATGGTGGAAGATGTGAAACTTGATGAAGTGGATAGACGTGATGAGATTGAAGGTCAGTGCATTGTGAACAGTATATATGATGCTTGTTTCAGATCCCGGAGTTGGGTTTTTCTGCTTATATATCCCTTTTTCACTGCATGTTCTTTTAGCAATCTGTATGGTCACATAAGAAGGTTGTTACACTTTGTATCACGCCTCTTTTTGTTGACTTGTCAACATCTTAAGATCAGCAACTTAGCTGGTTCATCAAGATACATAATCCAAATATTTTGTAATTAGGAAGGAAAGGTAGTTGACCTTAATATGAAAATGGATTTTGCATCAAAGTAAGAAGGGTCAAGTGTATTGTAGGTTTTTGTGGTACACACGTCATCTGAAACTAATAATTGACTACCGGCAATTTAATGGTTTGATAATTCAGTGGCTTTCTTCGGCATCAGCTGCATTGCTTATAATTTTACGAAACCATTTCCGAAGTGTGCTTGTCATTGTTCAAAAGACTGGCAAGTTATCTAGCCCATCCCTAGATTTTATCCCAATTTAGATTATTTGCTTGGACTGGGCAACTAGGTCTCCTGATAAGAAAATTTATCTTGTAGATTAGAGCAAGATGTATCAAGTGCGTGTTAGGTTTTTATTTCATAAGGTATTATAATGTTAACAATTGACTACCGTTTCTCAGACTTTCTTGTGATACAGCGTTTTCTTTTTCTTGAATTTTCATTGTTGAAGATTTGCTCACTACCCATGTCCTAATGGTCCAAGAGCCAGGAAAACGCACAGATAATGACCATGTTTAGTGTTGCTTGTATATTTCCTACATACTTACCAGGTATTTAACTCTAGGTAGTATGATAGGGATGGTTGTGGAGTTGGAGGAAGGTTTGTGGAATATGGCCACGAACTTGTATAAATTACACTGACCTTTTATGTTGTGATCGTATTCTCGAAGTTCTCTTTAGTTATATGTATCCCTGAGTGTCACTCTAGTTGTTTATATAGATGTTCTCTGGGCTTTAGCATTTTGCAACTTTTCCGAAAACTAGGGAGGTCTGCCTTATGTTTGGAAACATTTCTCGTCCTGTCATTGGTCAAAATGCCAGTAGTAGAACTGAAGAAGCATATAATGATTGTTTGCTTAACCGGACATTGGGCTTTTTTATTTATGTTTTCTTTTCCATTGGAAGATTGAAAACGACGAGTAGAAAAATGGCAGTCCTAGGGGAGCCTAATGCTGTCTTTTGTTGATGAGAGGAAAGACGACAAAAAATCTGATAAGGGCATTCAATATTTTGGTTTGCTTTTGAACTTTATATGCATTTGTTCACATGAGCAGACATTTTATTTCACTGCTATTTTAGTGATTGTTGGGTGGGGATTAAAAATTAGATTTTGATAGAAGTTTTTAAAATGTGTGATTGAAAAGCTTTGAGTCCATGAAAATCGTGGTTAATATTGATTGTTTGACTTTGACTCAGATTAAAATCAGAATTAATATTTGAGCCAAACAGGGGCTTATACTTTTTTTTTTTTTTTTTGGTTTTGTTTTTTTTCCAAG